AGGGGGCCTACAGGAGAGCTGGGGAGGTACTCTTTATCAGGGAGTGGAGCGATAGGACGAGGGGTAATGGTTTTAAACTGAAAGAGGGGAGATTTAGATTAGATACTAGGAAGAAATTCTTTACTGTGAGGGTGGTGAGGCACTGGAACAGGTTGCCCAGGGAAGCTGTGGATGCCCCATCCCTGGAGGTGTTCAAGGCCAGGCTGGATGGGGCTTTGAGCAACCTGTTCTAGTGGGAGGTGTCCCTGCCCATGGCAGGGGGGTTGGAGCTCAATGATCTTTGAGGTCTCTTCCAACTCGAACCATTCTCTGATTCTATGATTCTATAACCATCTAGTTCACAGGTAGACATCTAGATGCCTTTTTCTGCAGGCTCAATCTCACTAACTGGTAGCTACCATCTTTGCATTTTCTAGTCTATATGGGAATTATGTGGGCTCTGTATTTTAGAAGACAAAGGAGTTTATGGCTGATGTGTAAACAGTTAATCTTGTCTAATTTACTCTTACAATCTGTGTATACTGAAACTTTGGGTTTAAGGGGTTATTCAATCCACAGTCTCACTGACTAGTATACAAGCTGCTTAGATGGTAGGTGTGCTTTGGCATCTTGGGAAAAGTGTTTCTGTTCTCAAAGGACTTCCAGGACAAAGCTTTGCTTAATTTTCCTCACAGAAAAATGAATCCTCTGTTGCCACCTTCCCATGAGGATGGGTTACCGGGAATTTGGCTCCTTCATGACCATCCCCCTGGCCTCCCACATGGAGTCCCTAGGTAATGACTTCTTTTCTCTGATACAGGAGGCAGGGATTCTTGGTGGCATGCTGTAAAAGCAAGCAGCCTTTCATTTTGTTGTGTTCTTCCTCTCTCCTAAACCTGCAATAGATTTTATCAGTCAGAGGTCTCTCTGGTACAGCCTGAGTGACCAGAATATTTCACTACTGCTTTCTTCCTTTCCCCCAAATGGGAACCTGAAATCCTTGGAGGAAGAGCTGACCAAATGTTACCTGTTGGTTTTCCACTTCTCTTGACTAGGAACGACTATGTAGATGACATTTTCTTCCACAGGTCTGCTGACCTTTTATGTATATATCCCTTTTCAAGTAAAGTCTTATTATTATGGGGTCCCAAGACAAGTAAGAACCCTTGAGGGAATGTTTTCTTCTCTTTGTCCAGGTTGTTTTTTGAGTTGATTGCTTGCACGTTTTATGCAGTAAAGGATGAAATTTATTTTTGTTCATGAATCTTCCTACTGTGATAAAATGCTTGCAACCAGTTCAATGTCAGTTAATGATAGGCCACTTATAAATTAATTAAAGTGTTGAAAAGGATAATTTATACTTAGGCTTAATAGGTCTAAGTATATGTTTTAGACTCTTTAAGGTTGTTATACATATTTCACCTGAGAAGAAAAGACTTCCTCTGTTTTTCTCCACCTTAGGTCAACTTTTCTTTTGAAAGGCTAATCTTTGACTTTGCATAAAGAGGAATTCTCGATAAATTCTGGCTCTTGCTCAGGTGTTCCTCTGCAGGCCTGCCGTGTTTTGGGGACCTCCTCAAGGGCATCAAGCTACCAGACAGGCAAGGTGAATGTTAGTTTTCTCAGCTAAGACACGGAGTTTCTGCTTCTGTTCAAATTCCAGTAATCCTTAAATCATATCTTGCCATCAGAACCAGCCCCCTTCGGTTCTGTAGCCACAATTCCTGACATCTGAATGATGGTGAGACGCTAAAGAGAAGTTTTACTTTCATTTAGAAAGTAGGGATTTACACGCTAAGGGAGGTATATAAACCAATTACTTGGGTGGAAAGCTTGTCAATGACTTTTTGTTTTCTACAGATCACAGACTGTTCCCTGCTATGTAATGTTGGCTCTTGTGGTCAAGGAAAGATAGACGCAGACCTCAGATATTTTAGGAAGACTCTAGATCATTTTTATGTTTGTAGGGAGCCGTGACATATGAGCTACCATGAATAGTGCTAGGGCTGCTGTGAACTCCCAGCCAGCTGGCTGCAACGTGGCCAAACCATCTCGTCTTCTCAGCAGCCCGTGTAACGTCTGCATGCCAGGAAGGACAGTTCATTAGCTCAACAGGCAGCACAGCCGAGGGGATGGGGCAAGGCACCAAGCCACTTCTTAGCATTGACTTCTTTTGTAGCCTTTGCCTCACTCTCTTTCTAACTTTTCTTAAATTTTATCAATCAAGTTTTGCTAATTTTTATTTTTGCAAACTTGGGTGCTTAGAGGTAGGCACCTACCCTCTCCTCCCAGTGGCCTGCAGACTCCATGGGCCACTTCTCACAATACAGCCCTTCTTTCCTATGCCTCATTCTTCATCTCTGTAAAACAGGGTAATGACGTTTAAGTACCATGTAGACAGGGATCTGATAACCCAGCAGTTCATCCATATGTATAAAGCCAGAATCTCACTGAAACTGGAAAATTTTCAGTTCCCAGTGCTTTTGTTGGTGTGCTGACCAAATGTTTATTCTAAGAGTTTCCCAAGCGTTGGTAACCAGACGGAAATCCTCACAGGGCAGGAAAAGCACACACTCAAACCTCTGCATTTGTCATACTTGGCCTTATCGTTTCTGGCAGCTTCCAGAGCTTCAGGAGAAAACACCAACATCTGACCATGTCTGAATGAATGCAAATATTAATAGAAATGTCATAAGTGAAAATAGTGTCCTGGTACTTCTATTATTTACAATCTTACTGGAAAAAGCTAATGGTTAAGGAGCGGACTTTTGTCCAAAGAGGTAAAGATGACCAAGAAGGTGGATACAGATGACTTTGGCAATGAGAGAGAGAGCAGGAGAGGAGAATGAGCTATTCACTGTCCCATTTCTACCACCTCTGCTTTCTCCTTCCACCTTCTTCATCTCATCAGCTCCTCTCTACTGCTTCCTCATTATCTTTTCCCCCGTTTATTCTCTGTCTCATCACTTCCAACAACTTCCAGTATCCACACAGCCTAGCAGAGCATCGAAAAGAGGAGAAGGAGAACACGGTCATCACCTTCCAGCTCTTCCAGTGTCACCACTGCCATGCATAGTTGCAACTGCTGTGGGCTTGGTTGTCGCAGCCCTCCCACTGAGGCCGGGGGGGACGGGTGAAAGGGCAGTGCTCCTGGATGGGACTGTGGAGAGCAACAAGAGGACCGCTCATGAGCTGGTCCATCTGCCTGTGGACCTCTCAACTTGGATGTGCAGCAGGTGCTTTGTGTGGTTATTTTAGTATTGCCTCTGCAGGTATTTATAGAATCATGGAATGATTTAGATTGGAAAAGACCTTTAAGACCATTGAGTCCAACTGTGAACCTAGCACTGCCAAATCCACCACTAAACCATGTCTCTAAGCACTACATCTATGCATCCTTTAAATACCTCCAGGGATGGCAACTCAACCACTTCCCTGGGCAGCCTGTTGCAAAGCTTGACAACCCTTTCAGTGAAGAAATTTTTCCTAGCATCCAATCTAAACCTCCTGTGGAGAAACTTGAGGCCATTTCCTCTTGTTCTTTTGCTTTTTATCTGGGAGAAGAGACCGACCCCCACCTCTCTACAGCCTCCTTTCAGGCAGTTGCGGAGAGCGATAAGGTCTCCCCTCAGCCTCCTTTTCTCCAGGCTGAACAACCCCAGTTGCCTCAGCTGCCCCTCATAAGACTTAACGCTCTAGACCCTTCACCAGCTTCTTTGGACGGTGCCTTGGGAACCCCAGGACTCCACCAAAGGTGATACCCCCTCGCATGAAACAGAGGACACTTGCCTGCACTGGGGCAATGCCCACTCCCTGCCAGAACACTTTTCAGGTAGGACGCTGGCAGGGACAGCCTGCAGAAACACCGTTTCTGGCTCGATTCATAGAATCATAGAATAGAATCATAGAATCGTCTAGGTTGGAAGAGACCCTTGGGATCATCGAGTCCAACCATCTCCCCTACTCTACAAAGTCCTCCCCTACACCATGTCCCTTAGCACTGCATCTAAACGGCCCTTAAACACAGCCAGGGATGGTGCCTCCCCCCCCTCCCTGGGCAGCCTGTTCCAATGCCCTATCACTCTTTCCGTGAAAAATTCTTTCCTAATGTTCAGTCTAAACCTACCCTGTTGGAGCTTGAAGCCGTTCCCTCTCGTTCTGTCACTAATTACCTGTGAGAAGAGACCAGCACCAACCTCTCTACAGTGTCCTTTCACGTAGTTGTAGAGAGTGATGAGGTCTCCCCTCAGCCTCCTCTTCCTCATACTAAACAGTCCCAACGGCTGGCGGCCGCCTTGGCCGTTCCTACCGGGAGCCACGGTACGACCGAGACGGCCAAAACCCAGCCTCGGGGGGGCGGGCCGGATTTCAGGGGTCAGGACGCTTCCCACGGGTGGGTGAGTGGGTAGGCAGGGGTCCGCGCTCAGCGGCCTGCGGGCCGTGCGGGTGCCGAGCCACACGTGGGTACGTGACGGCGGTGGGTGCCGGCGGGGCTCGGCGGCTCCTCCTTCCCCCCACACCCCCCCC